TAATTGGGATAACAAATAATAAAGTTATCATAAAATAAAAAAGACAAACATTCATTTTTCTCAAAACTAAAAAATTGAGTTTTACGGCACTTTTGCTTAGCATGGCAGTATAGACATCATATATATTATTCATATTTATCAAGATTTTCAAGGAAGAAATTGGAATGCATAGATACCAGATACGTATCGATCTAATTATGAGTGTTCAAGAAGCACGGACTACAACAGTAGTAGTCTGTGTTAAGAAGTTCCACGTTCAATATACAAGCGATACGTACYGACCTGTACCGGGCTTAGACTTCGATACGAGTTAGGCGCGTAAAACGTAACTATTTTCAGTCGATACGTATCGAATACTATTTTTCTCGAAAATCTTGTTCTTGAGATTTTTGTATGTCTTTATCACAGATATCTTAAACCGTGGTCTTAATGCTTTTTTTATCATCAAACGGTTTTTTTTTGTTATTCAAAAACAAATAACTAAACATATTATATAGATATAGGTACCAGACGTTTTGATGAACAGCCACCACGGACTAAGAGAAAAGAGTGCATGTCGGTCGACCGGGTCGGTGATCGTCTCTCGGGTTGGTCAATCTTAGTCCGTGATGGCCACCTACATCCCCGTCCTATAATAGATCCCCATGATCTAAATGACACATTGGGATCTACTTGACAGGGAATTTAAATAACCATAGGGAACTAGTTGACACTATCGTAGATGGGGATCTAAATTACCCATTTTTCGTTTAGATCTCCCTTGATCAACTTACTAGATACCCCCTTTGTGGCGTCAATATATACAGTAAAACCTCTCTATAACGGACCCTCTATTCAAYGGAATCCTCCTTATCACGGAAAATGTCAATAGTCCCAGTGCAATTTATATGCATTTTCTACCTTTCTATGACAGAAACTCTTTATACCGGAAAAATGTTTGGTGTTATGCGATTCTGTTATAGAGAGGTATCACTGTACTCATAAAGACATAAAGTCATAGCTTATAAGGGTAAGACGGGTAAGTCATAACTCATGAATCAAGACTATAAAGCTGGCTACACACGGAGCGGTTTATTGTGTGCAATTGAAAGTGTTTAAAAAATGTTCACTTTTTTATTTTGTAGTATATTTATGAATTGCCTTTTTATACATTTTAAATGCTTTTTTTATTGATTATATTGCCTTCAAATCCGAACCCTAGTTATAACATTACAATTTTATTCGACCAAGGCATATCAATATGTAAGAAAAAGTTGTAATAATTTGCTTCGTCATTCAAGAAACATTAGTAGATGGTATAAAGTTGTKAATGGCGACCCCGGTTTTACTGAAGAAGCGTTTAAATGCATAGAAGACAAAGCAAAAAATGAGACCGTTATATGCAACATTGTACTTGATGATGAAATGTCTATTAGAGAACAAACTGACTGGGACGGAATAAAAATGCATGGGTTTGTTGATATGGGTACAAATGTTGAAACGGAAGATGATAACGCAGTTCATGCAAAAAACGCATTTGTTTTTATGGCCGTAGGTATAAATGGCCACTGGAAAATGCCAATTGGATATTTTCTTGTTGCTGGGCTAAATGGATCAGAACGAAGTAATTTGTTRGAGCAGTGCTTAAATCTGATGTCTGAGACTGGTGCAAAAGTGCACTCTCTTACTTTTGATGGAGCATATACAAATGCAACAATGTGCTCAAAATTAGGAGCTTCATTTAACATAAACAATGATTCAAGTTTTTGAATACAAAACCCATTTAACAATGAGCCAATATTTATATTTTATGATGCATGTCATATGCTGAAATTAGTGTGAAAAACATTAGCGGATATGAAATAAATGTATAGCCAACGGTTATAACCGTGGTATAGCCAGAATGGACATGAAATAAGTTGAGACCACATAAAAGCATAACACTTCAAAGAGAAAGAAGAAGGTTTAAGAGCTGCAACCAAATTATCAAATAAGCACATCTACTATCATAACGAGAAAATGAATGTAAAATTAGCAGCTCAAGTGCTAAGTAATAGTGTGGGGAGCGCTTTAAAATTTTGCAAGTCATTAGGTGATCCAAATTTTAAAAATGTTGACCCTACAGCTGAATTCTGTTTCATGATTAACAATGCGTTTGACACTTTGAACTGCAGAACTATGTATTCCAAAAATCCTTTTTGCTTAGCACTGAACCCAAATGTTTATGATAAATATGCTGATTTTATTGTTAAGTTTAAGGAATATATATTAGGATTAAAGTTAGCCAATGGTAAACGAGTGGTAGATTCAGGTAGAAAAACTGGCTTCATTGGTCTTATTAGTACATTATCTAATTTGTTAAAGTTATTTACATATCTTAGAAATATATATTCCTTGTCTTATATGAGTTATATGTTGTCTTACATACTGTCTCAGGATCACATTGAGACATTTTTTAGTTCAATCAGCCAGAGAGRTGGATTCAACAACAATCCTTCCTGTAAACAGTTTAAGTCAGCATATAAGAAATTATTAGATTTACGGAGCTAAACGTGATTTTCTGAACGTAAAATTTGGTATGCTATGCACTTGTAAGACGGAGAGAACACATGCAGGTATAACATCATCATAAACATTTATTTTATTTAGTACATTCGACAGAGGAAAAAAAAATAGATTTGTGAATCAGATTTATGACGTCTTGCTTCGGATTAAAACAAATACATTTGAACATCAACTGTGAAAATCAAAGAGTATGCAGGAAACAAGTTATGATGGTTATTAATATGTGTAATTTTTTCATTTTATCTAAATACAAAAATATTTACCACCTTAAAAAATGTTGACCTCACCCTGGTCCACCTTGTGCAAGTTCTGGCGCGTACGTCCAGTAACTATACGTCTTCATCTCAACTTGATTAAATTTTAATTGAGGATTTTTTTAAAATTATTTGTTCGTCGTAAAACCATATACGCTTAAAATGACGAGAATTACCCGGGAAAGTAACAGAATATAGTAACAGTATATGAGATTTGATATTATTTAGATGTCATTATTATTGAGTGAGATGTTGGAGTGAAAGTATCCGAAACTATGAAGTTATAATTTTAAAGATATTTTTTTAGATTTGATGAGGGTAGCTCAAGTTAGAGGCATTCATCTCGATAAATGCCCAAGTATTAACTGAGTTGAGATTTGAAATTATTTTATTATTCAATAATATTGGAGGACTGATCAAAAGATGATGATTTAATTTTTATTCTACTTTGGATGAACCACATTTGTAGTTCATTTAAATTAATTAAGAAGTTATTGATATCTTGGTCAGAAGAACTTACATGTTTACAGAATCTTATTTCATCTGCAAGTGGTTAAATTAGTGAGTTTGGAATGATGTACGTAGACAGTATAAAGATTATGCAGTGTTAAAGCAAGAATGCTACTTTGATTAAACCTGCATTATTCCATAGGATGGAGTAGATAGTTTGTTTTCAAATCTCACTTGAAAAGAATAGAGTGAAAAAGAGTTAAGTGCTAAGTATAATCATATAGGGGAGGGAGCAGGGAGCAATCTAATTTTGTAGAAAGACCTTTGAGTCAAATGTGATTAAACGCCTGAGATACATCATGGAGCTGGATAAATGGTTTTTTTTTTTATTTATAGTAAAGACAATATTAACTAGAACTCATAGTGCATTTGGTGAAGATACTTTCTAAAGTAAAACCGGATATTTGGAGTTATCTTTTAACTGTAATAATGTGGAGGATTCTTTTTAAAATAACCAAACAAAGATTATCCAARTATAATTAAGTCAATATAAGTTCTAAAAGTTCATACATTTGTAGCTATCATTAGTCAAGTCATTCTCAAGCATTGACTAAATGTTCATCTAAGCGGGTAACATATTGATCAGGACCTTCATGGCCCTTGCAGCTTATCATTTTAAAATTCCACATTACTCTTTTAGAAATCAAAAATCATCCTTGGTTTTAACATATCTAATTACACAAACAACATCATGTGGGTACCATCATATATAGGATAACTCTGTACTCATAACAGATGAAGGATACCAATGCATACCAGGGAAGGCGAGAAACAGCGAATGGTGTCAGTTTCAATAGAAAAGTGCATGCATTACTAGCCTACACTAATGACATAGTGATACTACAAGAGGAGGACAAAAAACCACCATGAAGTAGCTGATAACCAGAGCGATGAGTATGGGACTAATGATAAATGAAGGGAATACTAAATATATGGTAATTAAGAGAGGTAAACAACTACAACAAAACAGAAATTTGGAAATCAAAAATTATTGTTTCAAAAAAGTAGAAAGCTTTAAATATCTTGGAGTGGATATAAATAGTTGTAACAATAACTATGACAAAATAAACCAGTGTAAAAGCTGGAAATAGGAATAATTTTGCGTTACAGAAAACCTTCAGGTCCAGGGTATTATCAAAAAAGTCAAAAATGAGATTATATAAGGTTTTAGTTAGACCAGTAATTCTATATGTGGGAAAAATGTGGCACACGTCAAAAGAGGACGAAAGAAAACTGGTAGTTTTAGAACGGGAATTCCTACGACGTATTTTTTGGTCCTAAAAAGTGACCAAACAGGTGAATATGAAATAAGACCCAATAAAGAAATTAAAGACTTGATGGGAGAATAGTACATTATACAAACACTTAACGGCAGGAAAATGAGCTAGCTTGGTCACGTATGGAGATCAAATGGCATAATGAAGGATGTGCTTAACTGGAAACCGGAAAGCAAGAGACCATTGGGCAGGCCAAAGAAAAGGTGGATAGACGAGCCCAATAAGAATTTCAGGATACTTGGGGTTGAGAACCCGGAAGAATTGGTAAATAATAGAGAGGAATGGAGTAGGCTGTGTGAAGCAGAAGCAGTGAGCCAGTGATGGACCTTAATGGCCTATAAAAAAAAAGCTGAAGAAGAAGAAGAACAATAGCTTTTTAGTATACCAAATGATGCTACAAATTAAAATTATTTTAATAATGGTTTAATTAAACTGAAAAAAATCTTAAATTGACAGTAAATACAATGTAATACAGTATGTATAAGCATAAATATATGACTACCAAAAAATACATCACTCTGACATCATTCTGAAATGAGGTGGTCTATCAACAACAACAGCACCATAAACTTGGGTACTAATATATGGTAAAATTTCCTTTGACCAAGTATTAGTTTTTGGATTGTAAATTTCTAAAGAGTCCAAAATAGTAGAGTTTTGTATTCCACCAATAACATACAGTAGACCATCCAATGCGAATACGCCTAGATTTAAAAAACAATTCAAACTTAGTACATTTTTTAAAATAGGTTTTTTTAAAACCATTACCAGGATCATATCGGCCAGAATGCATATCAGGAATAGGTGTCCAAATTCCAGAACTTGGTCTATAAACCTCAACACTATTAAGAACTGCTRTCCCATTCTTACCACCAATAGCATACATAACACCATCTAAGACTCCAATACCAAGACCATGACGATTTACTGACATTTCTGCAGCGGGGATCCATCTGTTCTCACCAGGAATGTAACATTCGACAGATCTCAATCCTGCCCCATTAAAACCTCCTACCTAAAAAAATTAAATCGAATAAATTTCATGATTAACTTAAAATAAGAATTTTATTTACAGCATATAAGAGGTTATTGAGTACTCCAACACCAAAATTACTTCTTGAACAAGACATGCTAGATACCATTTTCCATTTTTGAACACTGGCATCAAAAACTTCTACAGTATTTAAATAATTAGCACCGTTAAAACCGCCAATCTAGTAATTTTATTAAATTAATAAATTTTTATAACATATTATTATTATACATATATATATTATATATATGAATATGATAATGGAACTTACAGCATATACACTATCATCTATAATACCAACTCCTAAATGTTTTCGACTAACTAACATGTCAACCATCTGTACCCAACAGGGTGATGGTGACAATAAATCAAGCATTTCAACCGATTGAGAACTGGTGTTAGTAACATCACCCATGGCTAATACAAATTTATCTTTTATTACACCTATATTAGCCATATTGCGGTGTTTAGTCATTTCTGGTGCAATCTGCYATTCTTTAGTAAATGGGTCAAACCAGTTAGTAAAACTTTTTAGCATTGTTGAAGAATAACTCAATACCAAAACAACCTGAAATATATAAATTAATAGAATAATAGTTATGACAAATAAATTAAAATGAGAATCATACTTTCTGTAAACCATACTGCCTAGGCGTACTTCTTATAATTTGTGGAATGGTGAAAGGGTTTAAAAACTTAAGTATATAAAACTGCAACGCTTCAGATACATATTCTTTACCTACAAATATTTTAAAATAACAAATATCTCATAATAAATTATTAAGAAATATTAAGAAAAAACATACATGTAGGATGATCAAGAAGTGGCTCAACAACTACTTTTTCTAAAACATACTGTTTTGAAGCTAATGCCAACCGTACATGTTTCATCAGACTGGGCAAAAAAACTTTTCTACAGTTCAATTTATGTTTTACCCAATTAATAACACATTYAAACACCTGGATAAATAAATACAATTTAAGAGGACGCTACACCCGCATGTGTTGTCTCCGTCTTACAAGTGCGTAACATTGCAAAAACTGTTTCGCGCGGGAAAGAACCGAGAAGGCTACAGTTATAACTAAAAAAACAAAATTTTCACCACATAATAAGGAGAACATTTACTGTGCAACGTTGTTTTCAATTTTTCGATATCACAAATAGAAAAAAAGTTCTTATTGTTTCAAAATTCATTATTTTTGCGTTTTTCAAAATCGAATAACTTTTTTTTCAGTTCTAATGTCAAAAAAATAAAAACAACGTTGCACAGTCGAAATTCCCTTTTATCTGTTGTGAGAATTTYGTTTCTTAGTTATGACTGTAGCCTTCTCGGTTCTTTCCCGCGCGAAACAGTTTTTGCAATGTTACTTACTTGTAAGACGAAGACAACACATGCAGGTGTAGCGTCCTCTTAATAATTATAAACATAATGAAGCAAACAGCTTTCACATAGGGAATTACGGCAAGCCTGGCCCAATGACATCATGTATTTTTAAGAAAAACAATTATTATAATATGTTTAATGCTCCTTTTAGTAACCGATCTGTTGTATAATATGTGTCAGGTATACTTTGACAGGCATGGCAAAAAAATATACAGGTTTATAATCGAGATTAATACTGAATTTATATACATTAATTATTATTTATTTATATTAATTATAATTATATATTATAATTATAATGCATTTAAACTGACAACACAACATGGTGGGCGTCTTCAAACAACTGACGCTATTTGTAATTTTTATTAACTTGAAAACACTAGAATTTGTAGGAATCAATTATTAATGAGTAATTCATATCTTCTCAACTAAAGATAATATGTCAATGATTAATCAACTTAAATAATGGCCAAAAGTTCTTATTTAGCTGGTACCTGTTCATTTAAATCGAAAGGTTGTTAGTCAAGTTGGTTTTATTTTACTCATTATAGCCGATATCGTGTTATAACCATACTCATTGTAAACGTATATTTTACCATAAAAAAACCATATGGGCTAGTGCCGGRACCTAGCATTTTGCACTTTTTAAGCAATACCTCATTTTAACAGGTGCTTGTTGTAGTGATTTCTACTACTCTATTTTTTTTGGCAACATGTGATTCAAATAAACTTTTTCAAACTGTTACTACAAAGAGTACATTATATATGTAGACCTAAGCAAATTTAATTTTATCTATACTATTGAAATTTTAGTTTGCTTACTTTTTCTTCAAACGGAACAAAAAGGTCATCATAGGAAATTAGCTCAATTACTTCTTCAAAAGATAATGATAGAAACTCATCAAATTGAACAACTTCTCTGGAAATAATGACAAAAATGTAAACAATTTTTTGACAGAACCAAAAAGTTAAGTTTTATAAATCATACACAAACTGTTTTTTAATAAATGCTTTGGAAATATTCAACAATCCCATACAGTTGTGTACGTCAGCAAATTTTTTGATACCAAAACAATTTGAGGGATCCAACTGTGTTTTTAAAAAATCAGCACATACATCTCTCACATAGTCTAACTGTAAGAGATTTGCAGCTGGTAACAAATCCTTGAGCAATCAAAAATACAATTAAATATGTTTGATAGAAATACAAAATAAATAATTTATTTAATCAATATTCACATTGTGCCAAGAATCAATAATATCTGAATTAAATATTTATTTTCCTAAACAAAATAAATAATTTATTTATACCTGTACATTTATTTCAGTGACAATAATTTCACCAGTATAAATATAATCTATCAACAGTTGTAAAATGGTAGAATCTAACTTTCTTATATTAATATGATCTTTATTGCTCTCTTCAAAACTAGAAAACATGGCATTGAAATAAGGACTAGCTGATGCCAAAATATTTTTATGTMCAAATACTATTACACCATCATCTGTTTGTAACTTAATATCACAAAAAATCTCATATCTAAAATTAAAAATGTATAACTTCAGGTTATTTTTCTAGAGAAAAACCCGAAAACCCCACTCATAACATACTTGCGTAAAGATTGAAGGACTTCAAATATTCCATCTTTATGAGTTTTATCTTTATATTTAGTTAGTTCACATTTTAGGACTTGCTTTTTTATATCAACAATTTCCTCCACAGACATAATACCTTTTGACAAACAGTTGATAATTTATGAATGTATATTGTGTGAATACTAAATTTAATTTGACTCAGATGGAATAAGGACTAATACATTAATGTCAACTGATATTCAGGGTTGGGATTTTATAGCGCTTAAAATTGCATAAATAAGTGCTATATTATCTTTAATATCGCTAAAAATATGCAAAAAAGTAAATTAATTAATAATTTTTTAATCACTTACAATTGACTACAACAAATTCAACGTTCGTTCATTGGTAATCGGTGATTAATAATCACAGTAGGAATCGACAAAAAAGACCAACAAAATCAGCAGCTTACATAAATTAGAACCAAGTACCTAATACGAAATTATCATAATATTATATTACACTACACCTATATATTATCACTGTAATTGTACGGTGTTTCATCAGCCTAATCGGTGTATTTACTTAATACTCTATACTTTTACAATTTATTTAATAATTCAATTGACAAAAATCTAAAAACATGTTTACTAAAATATAAYTTCATAAAATATGACTGTTTTTGATTCAAAACAAGTAAAAATCCAAAAAAGTTCAAAAAGTCCAAAAAAGCACTAAAAACTAAAAGATGGTAAATATGCAAAAAATAGCAAAATAACATTTTTAATTTGAGTTCTCTATATCAGGAAACACATTATAAGCTTAATCCACTATTTTTTAAACSTCTCATAAGAAATATGCAAATGTTATAAAATCCCAACCCTGCTAATAATTAATATCAAATAGTTATTATAATCTAATAGATAATTTAAATTAATTAAATTAATTAATTAATTAAATAATAATACATATAACATATCATGTGATTTGCTTTTAAAAAAACGAGTTTATCATCTATGACTAATAAATAAGGAGCGTATGTTTGCTCATTTATCATATATATATACATTTTTTTGAATTTAAAGTTATACAAAGTAAGATAGAAATTTGTTTCACTTCTTAAAGAATTCAAATTAATAATTTAATATTGCTTATTTGTTTGATTTTTACATGCATAATATTTTTATAACCATTGTGTTTCAAGTGAATATTTATGTTTTTCGTAACATTTATTACATCAAATATTCTTTATACGTAGTTAGTTTCTAACATAAATGCATATTAATTCAAATTAAYCAACATTTCTCAAAATTCAATTAAAAAAATTATTTACTGTTTATATTTTTTTATAAATAAAATATACCTAAAATTAATTAATTTTTAATGAATACATTCAAAGCATAATTTTATACTTTAAAGTACATAAGTGTTCGATTTTTTAGAGCATACATACCTAAACCAACATCTATTCTCTACTAATAATAAAATATCCTTCAAAATCAAATAAATTAAATATGTACCAACAATGTTTGCATAACGTATATATRTACTTATGGAATATTCAGAAATATTTTCAKAATCAGAGGTGTGTTGAAATAAATTTTGGAACAGGGTGAGTAAAATTATTTCTTGCTACACCTGAAAAATATATCTTGGGCGCCACTGCTCATCATTAATCATTATTATTATTTTTATTCATTCATAGAATTCTAATTAAATAGGGTAATATTCAATATTATATTAGGTTTTTGTAATTTAGTAAAGTTATGGATCATTAGATAAATAAATAATTGAATTATTTTGTTCGGATTTTGTCATTGATTAAAGTATTAAGACTATTAGACTTAATAATTATTAGAAAAATGATCATTTAAAATTGTGGCAAGACCTGAGTTAAATTACTGTTATTTGTTAGGTTTTTTATTTTTAAAGATGATGCAATTATTAATTTTATATAAAAAAAAATGGCACCGGTCCAATGTGCGACCTACGGCCAATATGTGTWTTTTCCTATATGAAACGGGGAATATATTTATAAATATATTTATTGGGAGGGATGATGTCGTACCTTCATGATAGATGATCTATTTTGGGAAATATTTTAGGAAATAACTACACTTTGCGAGGCATTTTATATCATACTAATATAATATCAAATAAATAATAATATTATATTAGTACGTTGCTGGCTTAATAAAA